AAGCGGATTGAGTTTGGATCAAAGGTCCTACCAATCGAGCCTTGCACAATTGGAGATGCTCAGCCGGAGCTCATCAAAATCCTCCTGTTGCAGATTGGATTACATATCGTCAGGATCTACAGACTATTCCAACGGAACTTCTGTGGAGACATCGAGACGGCATGGAAACACTTTCAACAGAACCAGAAATTCAGGATGGACCTGGACTCAAGAACGCCTTACCTAGGCGAGGATGAAAATGGTGAACTCATTGAACCAACTGCACAACAGATGAAAGAGCTCTACAAAGAGATCGGCCGACCAAAACAAAAGGACGACATCGGGGAAGAGGGATTCGTCAATGCATACTATGGGGCAGTGGTACTCAAGCGACTTCTCATATATACCCTTGAATGTGGCTACACGTATGATGACTTGCAAAATATCTTCTATGACGAGGAGATGGAGAAGCTGTCGAAACGTGACACAACAATGGATGAGATGAGAAAGACCACAGCGGCCCGCGAAGCCCTTGACCGACAAGACGTCATGGTCAGAAGAATCATTGCAGGTGCATACAGGGTGAATGCTGTTTATTTCTTCAGGAACGTCGACTTTCAAGACACAATCACACTGAACCCGGTGGACATTGTGTGTGCTCTTCGTCCCGCACTTCGAAGAATATCACTTTTACACCTGATCCTTCAAAATGGCCGACAATTACCACGACCTCTACTCCAGAAGCTATATGATGCAATCGATGACTACAACCACATCAAGCAACGGGATGATCAACGACCAAGGTGGGGCATCCACATGTCAGACGCCCACATACTTGCGATTGCTGATACCCCAGTCCCTGCTGATCGTGAACGTGCTAACCCGGTCGCTGGCAAATCGAAAGCAGCCCCAAAGGCAGCACCAGCACTGGGCAGAGTGTCAAAAGCGAAAGCATCATCGTCAGCAACATGGAGAACCGTCGAAGCCGCTCCTCCGCCAAAACAAGCTCCAGTAACCCCGCCACAGAAGGGTGGAAAAGACCAAGGAAAAGGTGGAAGATCTTATTCACACCGTGGTGGAGACTGGAACCAACAGGGATACTATGGATGGGGATATAGATGATAAATCGATATGACCTCTGCATAGGTCCTGATTGAACCTGGCAAAGCGAGGATGCAATCATTGCTCGAGACTCACCTCTACTTCATTTCGTATGATTTCTGAGAGGACTCTGAGCCGGCTAATTTAGGACCACATTTTTTTTTAAACATCATTGCAAGAGACGCTGAGTTTCTACAGCGGTCTACATCTCAACCGACGAAGGAACGGGAAGGTAAACTTCTAGTTCCATAGTCATCTTTGTGTTTCGATTTTTAATTCACATGCTTGAGTGGGATTCCATGTTGGCTACGCCACATCGGATGAACCTCAATGCTGGACACCGACTACGTCGTGTCAGCATGCACGTGAACAGAACCTTTATCTTTTGGTAGAGATCGTAGCAAGCCGCCGTGTAGATTTGAAGTTCTGAACGGACTTTAGCTCTCCATAATTCAATAAATGAACAGCTGCAGATGTAGTGGATCAATTCAAGGGACACTCCTTTGCGCGTGGCCGACAAAGTTGGCCATGCGTGGGGGGTGCGAATAGAGTGTAGGCTACGGACCATTGTACACTACCACATAATTCAGCCCTCAAAGATCCACAGCCAAGGGGTACGTCAACTGGCCCCTTTGGCTCAAGACCACTGCAAGAACCGGAACAAAGAATTGCCATGCTGAAGCCGCAACTTCTGTGCTGTCGTCGCTGAGTACACCCACTCCAAAACCAAGCTATAGTACATAATCGGGGAGACAACCTCCGATTCACATATATATCAGACATATATATATATATGTCACATATATATATATATTTACATATATATATATATATCAGATATATATATATATATCATATATATATATAGCATATATATATGATATACTTGATATATATCATATATAAGTATATTTTATAGATCATATATATATATATATATTTATCATGTATATTTATATATGTATATATTTATCATATATATATATACCAAATATAGAATTCATATATATATATATATCATAAATATAATTCATATGTATCGTATTTATAAATATATCAATATATATATATATATTATATGTATATCACATATATATATATACCATATATAAATATCAAATATATATATATGTCACATATATTGATCATATTTAAATATATATACATATCACTTTTATTGATCATATTTAAATATATATATATCATATAAATAAATAAATATATATATACCATATATTTTTATATAGCACATATATCACATATATGCATCATATATGTATAAATATATATATCATATATATATATCACACACATATTTATATATATAAATCATGTATACATATCTATATATATCATATATATATATATTTCATATTTCATATATATGTATTTATGTATATATATATCATATTTCATATATATATATATATCACATATCTGATTTATCGCATATATCCCATATATATCATATACCTCATATATCTCATATATGTCATATATCATATATATATAATATGTAATATATGATTTCTTATATATGATAGAAAACATATAATATATAATCATTAAAATATATAATATAATAATATATATATGTATATATCACAAAAAATAAATATGTATACGAAAGCCAGCCGGACAAGCTGGCATGTTGCTGTTTACGAACCTAGTGAGGGAGATAGTTTGTTTTTTCTCCAGAATTAGCTGTGGAGCGATGGAGACGTGCAGAGGTGGAGAGAGTGAGACACAGATAGCTAGATGGCAACTGATGGAGATAGATGACACAGATAGATGGAGAGATCGAGACATGGAGAGACTGAGAGATAGACAGAGAAAACCGCCGAGGGATTGACAGCTAGATAGATAGACAGATATATAGATCGAAAGATAGATAGATAGCTAGATAGATAGCTAGATAGATAGACAGATAGATAGATAGATAGCTAGATAGATAGCTAGATAGACAGACAGATAGATAGATAGATAACTAGATAGATAGCTAGATAGATAGACAGATAGATAGACAGATAGATAGATAGATAGCTAGATAGATAGCTAGATAGATAGATAGATAGATTAGATTAGATTAGATTAGATTAGATTAGAAAGATAGATGGATAGAAAGATAGATAGATAGATAGATAGACAGGGAGATAGATAGACAGGGAGATAGATAGACAGGGAGATAGATAGACAGGGAGATAGATAGATGGACATAGACGGAAAGCTCGATAGATGGACAGATGGATGCTTTTCAGTGGTGATAATTTTGTGCTTGGCACCAATCAAAGTTGACGCCTTATTGTGTGATACGCAACCATTCAGTTTGCTCGCAGTACGTAAAACCGCGATGCAACCATGTTACTTTCGGTTGTACTTTTCGCATCGCGCCATTGCAAGGAAAGGTTTTCCCGCAGATGCGCTTTGTGAAACCAGACACGATATCCTCTTCACTGGGAGTCTGGGAGTGTGTTACGCAACCTTTCAGTTTGCTCGTAGGAAGTGACGCTGCGATGTGGTGCTTGCGGAGAAGCCGGCTTGCCCGCATCCGCATATGGCGAGAACAACAAACATGACAGATGTAATGCCAAGGAGAAGCGGTAGAATCAAAGCCGGCCTTGAAGAACGCATGCCTAACAGATTTCCTATTTTGCCAAGGAAACGATAAGCAACAATAAGCAGATGCTGCAGTCCAACAGAACTGTAACGGAGCAGGACCTTTCCTTTTGGCCTTTGGCAGCTCTGCTGTGGAATAGTGTCAATGTCACATGCGATATGTTTTGCATACCGTGGACCATCACGTCATCTGTTTCTGACGATACACATTGATACAACTGGACCGCGGAAAAATAAATGGGCCTTGGCAGATACTTTGCGAAGTACAGAACGCTATCATCGTGCTGCGTACCGATTGATATGGAAGCAGGCACCAAGAACCAAATCTAGAGTCTGCACTGCATTTCTAGATCACGGTCATGTTAAGCCATGTTAGGCTAATGTTGGTCCATGTTGGGCTCTTAAACGCCAGGTTAGGGCCATATTCGAGCCATGTTGAGCTTATGTTAAGCCAAGAACGGCGTGTTCCTTTTAAGAACTCCAATTTTGAAGGTATTACGTGCTGGAAATTTGCTGCGGTAGGGTATTGTCTGGGGTTTCGTGGGTGAGCTAAGTAGCCAGCCAGAGAAATCAATAGAGCGAGATATGTCGTTTAAGAGTTTTAGGAAGGCGACCACGGGAGAACCCCAATTTTGAAGGTGTTACGCGCAGGAAGTTTAATGCTTTCAGTCGTGATGCTTACGGGTTTGCTCCAACAGAAGAACTCCAATTTTGAAAGTTTTACCCGCAAGAAATTTGCTGCAATTGGGTATCGATTCCCTCTCAGTCGGGTTTCTAGCCAGTTAAACAAATAGATGGAAAAAAATTGCTCGAGAGACTGAAGACACGTAAGCCACCAACAGAGTTTCATGATGTTTGTGCAGTTAGGGCCACTACAGCCGGAGGATTTCAATGTTGGAGGCCTTGCACGCAAACAATTTGCTGTGCGCAGGGGTTTTTAGTATGAGAGTTGGTTTTCGCTCCCTTCCCAGGTATATAATATGAATTGAGCAGCATATTTGTGAGCAAACTGTGTCCATGTTGCTGTCCCTGCCCTGTCTTCATCTTCATTGTTTCGTTTTTCCCCAACTTTTATCATCCATTATTATTGACTTGATAAAGACTTGATTCTGGTCGACCACACCTGCCAACAGTACTTATGTCCCATGACAGAAGTTGGTGGACTGACTGCTATGCAGCATGGCCTTTCAGAACCCACTGGGTATCAGGATCCAACATGATTGACACACACACACACATTGACACATTTTGACACACACTAGAACAGGCTAAAAAACAGAAATCACGATGCGTTTTTTTCCTGAGGCACACTGGCCAACGACAAGGACTACGAAATGATCGCCAGGCGAGGATGCCGAAATCTTTGTGCTGGAGTGAACATGCTCTTGTGGCCACAACATGCCACAACATGCCACAACATGCCACAACATGCCACAACATGCCACAACATGCCACAACCACTTTTTGGCGTGCCTCTTACCTGGATGACTTGGATTGAAACAAAACTACATTTGATACATTCTAGAAAAAATCAGACAACGGCAGCAAACAAATCGATTAATGCAGGGGGACCTGAAATATTCTGAGATCAGACTTGATCTGCAAGATGTTTTTCTGACTTGATTGGGCATAGTTTTTTAGACCGATTCATGTTTGCCTTCAGATAGCGTGTGATGTCTTGTTGTTGTCCTCCAGCTTCCGTTTTGTTTAAAGAGTTATATATGTCTCCCTTTGACTGAAGTTCGCTGAGCTGCATACAACCGGCCACAATAAGACAGTCATGATCGGTCATCACGCGGTAATCATTTTAGCGGCGATTAGGTGGCATGACATGCTCCCCTGACTGCATTAACCCAAATATTCTTGAATCGTAGATCGTGGATCTACTGTACACTGATCCTTGCCATCACCTCGCACTTCGCTGCAAGAAGCAAAGACAGTTTTGGAAGTTTGCGAGGCAAGACTTGCTGTCGTAGTTTGACAGGCAAAGAGGCTTCATTCTGAGCCTGACAGCTGGGCCAGAGCCACAGTTGCAATTTCACCAGAAGACTTCGCCACAGGAAGTGGGGCGCCAAAAAATATGACAGTTGCGCTTGGAGCATTTCCTGCATTTCCTGTTGAGGTTTCGCCCCTTTGCAAGAAACTTGTGGTGCAGGACACAGACAGCGGCAGAACTAGGTGGACCATGGTGGACCATGGACACTGTTCCTATGACCAGCAACAGCATCAGAGGAACGCACGTTTTCAGCAGGGCATTTTTTGTCGCCAAACAAATGATGAGGTAAGTTTTTGTTTGAAGATCAAATCTGGATGGACATCATGAGTCTTATGATGACTCTTACTGGCCAGTTGAATTGTGAAGAGAAGACAGGGAGGAAATATGGCCTGGAAGATCTTAGGATATCTTAGCACTCTGGCAGCAGCCTTGAGGATATGTGTGTGCAGGACCTTCTGACCGGCCTTCGCCGTATGCTGGGCGGAGATGAGGCCACTCAATCCGTCCTGAAAAAGGTAAGTGAGACTTTGAACATGAATAAATCTGCGAGCATGTTCAGCATGCTCTTTCTTTACATATAATATTTTTGTATATGTTTGTAGCCAGGCTTTGGCTGAATGGCTGAAATGCAGCAACTCTGAGAGGAGGCGCATAGGATCGTAGGAGTGGAGGAATTGGGTGAAACGAAGGGATTCTGGAACCGCATTTCTCTTCAGAACCTGCAAACGTCTGGGATGAAGTCAAAGGAGAGGTTTTTAGCTTTGCATCCCAGGCATCCCGGGCTCTCCAGTCTTTTTGCATTTGCTTTGCCGTGTTCGGCAGGAAGCGGCCACGAGTCGAACCAGCGCTTTGCCTTGAGAATAAAGAGAAACCGGCGAATGTGTCTCAGCTGAAAAACGCAATTCACATCCATCTTGTAGGTAAAGGCAAAGGAAAAAGGGTCAAAATTTGTAGCACTTAGTTTCATGCAGCATTGGTTTTCAATGCTTTTCTATATTTGGGTTCAGCAATACCCTCCAGAAAACTAAGGTTTCTCACCTCAAGTTCATGTCTATTTTTTAAGCTTGCAGTGCTTCAACTACCTGGAGCCTTCACTGAGAGCTTCATGCTGTAGCATCCAAATATAGACACTGGATGACACTGGTATACCGTACGGTATACCGGCGTATTGTATGTGAAATTTGCTAAAGAAAGTTCCTTGCAAGCAAGTCCTATCACTCTGTTTGCAAAGCGTGTCTAGTTGGTGGTCAAACCCACTTTACTGGAATTGAGTAAATATATGCTGAAAGGCAGGGCACATACTGTAACAGTTTGTATCATTGGATTTACCCCTGTTGAAAAGTATGGTGGTGGAATGTGAGCTTCAATGTAATTAGTGTAATTACCATATATGCGCGTGCACACACACACAGACACACTACAGCCTGCTTGGATTTCTGTAATGCAATCTATCATGGCTATCATCTATGTAATTTGCGCAGAGCAAGAGTGCACACAAGATGTGAAATAAAGCTGCATTGCGGGTCAGTAGAGCATGGAATACACTGAGGAATGCAAGGTACAACACGATGTTAACTTGAGACATGTTCATGCGGAGTCATATTCACCCCGCTTCGCGTGGGGTGGCCGCCCACACCGCAGGTTTATTTCGGTCCGTGAGAGGGGCTAAGGGTGGTTTTCCCCCGTGGGGGCTCCCCAGCTAAGAATTTTCACTTTCCCCCCCCGTGGGGGCTCCCCAAGCTAGGGAATTTTCACTTTTCCCCCCCGTGGGGGCTCCCCAAGCTAGGGAATTTTCACTTTTCCCCCCCGTGGGGGCTCCCCAAGCTAGGGAATTTTCACTTTTCCCCCCCGTGGGGGCTCCCCAAGCTTGGGGGCTCCCCAAGCTAGGGAATTTTCACTTTTCCCCCCCGTGGGGGCTCCCCAAGCTAGGGAATTTTCACTTTTCCCCCCCGTGGGGGCTCCCCAAGCTAGGGAATTTTCACTTTTCCCCTCCGTGAGGGCTTCCCAAGCTAGGGAATTTTCACTTTTCCCCGCCGTGACAGCTTCCCAAGCTATGGAATTTTCACTTTTCCCTCCCTTGGAGGCTCTCCAAGCTGCGGAATTTCAATAGCTAGACAACGACGCCTAGATAGTCCCCCAAATCCCGTGTTCTTTGAATGTGTTTCCATGTTTTTGCAATGGTTTCCTTCAAAGCACGGTACTTTACACTTTTGTCGCCATAAAACCGCTTGAAAACATCATGTTCGACAATGCTTCCAATTCCCTTATCTCCCCAACCGTTGAAAATACCGCTATTTACAGTGTTTTCTTCAATTTTTCCATGTGCCAATGCCGGTAGCCAACTCCAACATATATATAAGAAATCCTTCCAAAACATTTTTTTTGACAGTGTTTTTCCAATGTTTCCAGTCAAACAGACGGTAATTTTCACGTTTTTTGCAATAAAGGCAGTAAATCCTTCCAAAACATTGCTTTTGACAGTGTTTTTGTAATGTTTCCAGTCAAGCATACGAAATTTACACGTTTTTTGCTATAACGTCAGTCCAAAACACTTGTTTTTGCAGTGTTTTCAATGCTCTGGCATCCAAAAACCCTGCAACATCTTGCTATGTACAATGTTTTTTTCATTTTTGGCCGTTTTTCCATTGCCGGAAAGCTACCAAAATGACCCAAAATTCCATTTCAATACCCTCTTGCGCTCAGACACCCAAAAATCCTCGAAAAATGTCGAAAACACCACCGTATTCTGGTCTCGGTGCGAAACCGTTTTTGGCCCCCCCCCCCCAGCTAAAGCTGATATAGCGACTGCTATATTAACAAATGTCATTGAGCATTTAGTGTTGCTGTTGCCCCCCAATAAGCACGCCTTCACCGCCAAAGCGGTGTGGGCGGATTTAGCAGGCGGACATTGTGGGGCAAGCAATGTATCATTCTATATATGTCAACATGTCCAAGTGCGGCAAACACAGTACAAGACAAGGTAGATATGTATGATTGTTAGGTCTTAGGTAAGGTACATAGGTTAAACTGTGGTGTTGCCCAAGTGAAGCCAAGATGATGCAATGTGATATAACATACCTTGCATTTGAGGGACAGTTGATAGTTTTGGTTGTTTTGATGGGTTTTGCTGCTTTCTGTGCAGTAGTGTGTTTTCTCTTCAACTGAACCGAGGGCCGTCGTGCATCCGCGCAATTTCCATCGTCAGACCCTTGGTAAACCTGTCTTGACCAAGGATAGCAAGCCAAGTCGTTCGACAAAAAGCTCCCAAGTTGGGGACACAAGTGACATAAGTGTGAAACATTGTGAAAACATTGTGAAACCAAGCAAGGCAACCTAAGAAGAAGTGTTTGCAAGGTATGCATGGCTGAAGGAGATGCTGACAAGTGAGGACTATGGTGCAGCCAGGACGCCAGATCGATCACAACTTGTAGTGCGAGTCGTGCGCGTGTCAAACTGCTTCAATCGCCACAACATCCCAGACCACTGACATGCCAAACCTGTGGTTCACCTGGACCACTTGATAAGATGATACGTATAAGATGAGACATCCGTGGGCAGGAAAGAATTTCATTCCGGCGAGCCATTCTGTCATTGGTGGCGGAAGTTCATTTCTGAGTTTTGCACTAGAGAAACTCAACATACTGTGACAAAACACATCCATATCGTAGCACCCATGTTGCATTTGAGGCAGACAATCCAGTTCGAGAATGATGAGTGCGGTGTGGATGGGTCTGCTGTACGCACCTGGTGCTGTATTTTCTTTTATTTATCGTTTATATTTCCCGCCAACCTTCATTATTTTATCTTTTATCTTCCCCGCCAAATTGCATGCTTTATCTTTATTTCTATTCCCATGCAATCATTTTGTCCAGTCACAAATGCTTTTTTGCATGTGTGGATGTAGCCAGAGATCTGTGATTCTTACAGTTTGTTAATGTTTGATGTACGTACACAAATCTTACATTTACCTATGTTTGTATGATTTTATTGTGCATTCATGAAACGCTGGCGTGGATATGCTCTGCCGAGAGTGCAGCGTGTCCCGTGCATTTTCCCTCAACATTACCCGTCATGAACTCCGCCCAAGGTACATGCCTTCACGTCTACGATTCTACCCATCCATGCATTCCCGTCCACCCATCCACCCATCCATCCATCTATCCATCCATCCATCTATCACTTCATCCATCTATCACTTCATCTATCTATTCTTCCATGCATCCATCAACGTCGATCCATACATGGATTTTGTTGGCCAATCTCTTTGTCTCTGCATCTATCCTTTATCTAGAGGTTTCTTACTGCATGGTGCATGTGTGCATGTGCAGATTCAACTTATTCATTTGCCTCTCCATACACAAGACAGCAACCATTGTGATTTATCTCTACACATTTGGATCTCCACCTACTCGCATACAGGTTGCAGAAAAACAGATATGTACACATATGTATATTTATGTACGTATGTATATATATATATATACATGCATGTCTTCAGATCTAAACTCCTCTTATGTCATGTATCTACATGTTAGGACATCCAATGTACATGTTGGGAAAGCTGTAGTGCTTGACATTCGGCAACGCACGTATTTGTTAACATATACATACATATACATATACATATATATATATATATATTGACATGACGTGGGTGGTATCCTCCCACATCAGTGCATGTCAGAGCGTTGTGATCCCATAAAGAAGCAGTTGAGGTTCAAGGTGGACTTGCTGAGTGATATCTTCACGTCAAACTCGACAGAGTTTGCAATTCCTCTCTGCCGAGTTCGCCCCTGAATTTGCAGAATGAAAGCAGTTGTGATATTGATGCTGGATTCCGGCAACGTGATTCCGATGTCCCTTATCTCACTGGCTTGCAGAATCAGGAACGTTCAGATCACATCAGCAACTGACAATATTGTTGGTTCTTTCTGATCTCCTGAGGATGCTTCCTGATTGTGTATATATGTCCTTCCAGCCTCGCTGAACCAGGCCCACTCTCACACTCTTTTTTAAAGATGAATCAAGCCGTTTTTTGGTCAGGAGAATTCAATTTCAAGGATTGAGCAAAGAGCTACAAGTGCAGCATGAATAAGGGTGTGAAGCGCAAACAATGCACTATACAAATAACTATATAGTACGGAATGGAGGCAGACTGCAATTCCTACAGCAACTTCAATTTGATTGTCAATGGCGATTCTGCAAATGCTGTGCAGTCCTATAGTCCAAGCTTGAAACAGTGCGAGAACACAGCTGCATACAGCAGCTGTCATTGATCGGCGTTGAGTCTTTTGGCAAAAGCTATACTTTCTGTGGGATCTTAATGTTCACAGGACAGAATGTTTCTTGCTGCAGATCATGTCCCACAGCTGATGAGGACACCGCGAGTTGTGCAGGCCAGCTAGAATCAGCCGTAAACGAACAGCATGTGCAAGCAAAACCACGGCATTGCAGAGGATAGTAACGGATAGTAGTAGTATCTCCAGAAATTTGCCCACAAACCTGCAATTAGGCAATTAGTTTCTTTTTAAACAGCTTATTGTAGATTGAATACATCGGTGAGTCCACCCAGGTTTGCACGAATCCGGAGAGTGTTCTGCAACTCTCGGTCTACAAAGCTTCTGTCCACGGTTTTTTACACCAAAACAGTCACTTCTAACTTGCACGCTCACCCCCTCATGACATGGTACATCTCAATTCTTGCCTTGTTCGAAGTTTTACACTTTAGTTTTGCTGGTGAATGATTGAAGGATATTGAAGGATCGAGTTTTCACAATGTCCCTGCAAGATGCAGGCAGAATCAAGAGCTTCGTGCATGAGGAGTCTGTCACCGAAGCTGCCACGAAGTGCATCAGGGTGTCGGCCGAGGTAAAAATAATGTCGGCATTGCATGGTTGGGACATGTTGGGACTGAGAGCACAAACTGTGACAAAGTGTGAGTAGCGAGTCATACATGAACTTTGATCGCCTGAACATTTGATGTGACTAACTTCGCTGCAGCACGTTAAATGCATGCACCCAACGTTCCTTGTTGCTGTACAAATAGCAAAGAGTGCTGTGACTCTTCGGAGCAAAGGATTGTAAATGTTGGCCTCGATTTGCACTGCCGTCAGAGAGCCAAGCTGCGGAAAGCACGATCTTGAAAATCCAGCAAGGGCTTTTGCCCTTCCTGAAGCCATGGCGTTTGTGAAGGTGCTGAAGAATGCGGCATACTTCAAGCGCTTCCAAGTGCAGAGACGTCGCCGCAGAGAGGGCAAGACAGACTATCATGCTCGCCGAAAAATGGTGCGCCAAGACAAGAACAAGTTCAACAACCGAAAATACCGTATGGTAGTGAGATTCACCAACAGGCGCTGCATTTGCCAGTGTGTCTATGCAACTTTGCGTGGAGATATTGTTGTTGCAGCAGCATCCTCCCATGAGCTGGCCCAATTTGGCATCCCGGCTGGCCACAAGAACTATGCAGCAGCCTATGCCACTGGATTGCTGTTGGCTCGTAGAGTGCTGAAGAAGTTCGGCCTCGATGAGAAGTTCAAGGGCAAGGAAGAGCTAGATGGTGAGGAGTACCATGTTGAAGACGAAGAGAACGAGCAGAGGCCTTTCAAGTGCATCCTTGATGTTGGCATTCGCCGTACTTGCGTGGGTCACAGGATGTGGGGAGCTCTGAAGGGAGCCGTTGATGGTGGCCTGCATGTGCCTCACAAGACCAAGAACTTTCCTGGTTTCAAAGCAGCAGACGAAAAGGGCGGTGAGTCCGAGTACGATGCTGAGGCCCACAAGGAGAAGATTTTTGGAAATCATGCTGCTTGGCCAGACTTTGATGCAGGGAAGGCTATTGTGCTGCGCTAGCGATCTCATAGACATAAACATCATAGACCATAGACCTACAAAGAAGCAATACATCTACGATTATACATGTGTGTACATGATACAAGAGGCTATATATATATTACATACATACATGCACACACACATTATAATTATACACACTATACTCTCTAATGTACACAAACACAATAAGACCTAAAACACCCCTGTACCTGTACATTTATATATTATATATATATAATACATATATATATATATACATATTCTGTATTGTTTGTATAAAGTTGACTACATTGGTTCATGTAGGGCCGTAACGGATGTCATGGCCTTTCAGACTGGCTGTAAAGCGGAAAGCGTGAACCAGACGTTGCAAGACATAGTCCAAACACAGGATGACGTACTGTAGGGGTGACGTTGGGTTTTATGGCGAGGTGAAAGAGTACATGGAGATGCTGCAAGAGGAAGATCCAACGAAGTATGAGGCGCATTTTTCGAAGTACATTGAGGCTGGCATCGATGCCGAGAAGATGGAGGACATGTACACAGAGGCACATGAGAAGATCCGTGAAGACCCAGATGGCGAGAAGGCTGAGAAGAAGGATATCAGCTATGAGCGAGATGGCGACACCATGAAGGCCTCTGATGGCACTGAGCATACTCGATCTCACAAAATCACTCTTGAGCAGCGCAGGGAGAAGGTCTTGGCAAAGATTGCAGCCGCGCAGGCCAAGATGATGGAAGAGTGAGCCACTGACTGTTCTCCAAGAAGCGTGCGAAGAAAGAACGCTGCTGCTGGTTTGGTTTTGTTTGCATAGGGACTTGTGGGAGCTGTAGTGTACTGCAGTTACTTTGCACAAGAGCGAAAAGGGTAAGACAAGGGGTTCTGTTTTTAATATCAGAAGCAGCAGAGACTGGAGACGGATCTGCTGGAAATATCCTATGCTCAAGGCAAAGCACCTGCTTAGGGTAGCTTCCTGAAATCGCCATGGCGTTTGTGAAGGTGCTGAAGAATGCGGCATACTTCAAGCGCTTCCAAGTGCAGAGACGTCGCCGCAGAGAGGGCAAGACAGACTATCATGCTCGCCGAAAAATGGTGCGCCAAGACAAGAACAAGTTCAACAACCGAAAATACCGTATGGTAGTGAGATTCACCAACAGGCGCTGCATTTGCCAGTGTGTCTATGCAACTTTGCGTGGAGATATTGTTGTTGCAGCAGCATCCTCCCATGAGCTGGCCCAATTTGGCATCCCGGCTGGCCACAAGAACTATGCAGCAGCCTATGCCACTGGATTGCTGTTGGCTCGTAGAGTGCTGAAGAAGTTCGGCCTCGATGAGAAGTTCAAGGGCAAGGAAGAGCTAGATGGTGAGGAGTACCATGTTGAAGACGAAGAGAACGAGCAGAGGCCTTTCAAGTGCATCCTTGATGTTGGCATTCGCCGTACTTGCGTGGGTCACAGGATGTGGGGAGCTCTGAAGGGAGCCGTTGATGGTGGCCTGCATGTGCCTCACAAGACCAAGAACTTTCCTGGTTTCAAAGCAGCAGACGAAAAGGGCGGTGAGTCCGAGTACGATGCTGAGGCCCACAAGGAGAAGATTTTTGGAAATCATGCTGCTTGGCCAGACTTTGATGCAGGGAAGGCTATTGTGCTGCGCTAGCGATCTCATAGACATAAACATCATAGACCATAGACCTACAAATAAGCAATACATCTACGATTATACATGTGTGTACATGATACAAGAGGCTATATATATATTATATACATACATGCACACACACACATTATAATTATACACACTATACTCTCTAATGTACACAAACACAATAAGACCTAAAACACCCCTGTACCTGTACATTTATATATTATTTACATATATATAATACATATATATATATATACATATTCTGTATTGTTTGTATAAAGTTGACTACATTGGTTCATGTAGGGCCGTAACGGATGTCATGGCCTTTCAGACTGGCTGTAAAGCGGAAAGCGTGAACCAGACGTTGCAAGACATAGTCCAAACACAGGATGACGTACTGTAGGGGTGACGTTGGGTTTTATGGCGAGGTGAAAGAGTACATGGAGATGCTGCAAGAGGAAGATCCAACGAAGTATGAGGCGCATTTTTCGAAGTACATTGAGGCTGGCATCGATGCCGAGAAGATGGAGGACATGTACACAGAGGCACATGAGAAGATCCGTGAAGACCCAGATGGCGAGAAGGCTGAGAAGAAGGATATCAGCTATGAGCGAGATGGCGACACCATGAAGGCCTCTGATGGCACTGAGCATACTCGATCTCACAAAATCACTCTTGAGCAGCGCAGGGAGAAGGTCTTGGCAAAGATTGCAGCCGCGCAGGCCAAGATGATGGAAGAGTGAGCCAGTCATGAGCAAGTGGAAAGGCTTCAAGGCATTCCAATTCACATTCCCACTAAAGGAGGGAAACAGGAAGCGACCTGCAGCGAGATGCAAAAAAGTGCTGAAACACCACAAGTGTGAGTGAACTTTAGAAGCAGTATTTTGTGCTCTGTTGTGGGGTCTTGCTACATAATACAGGCTATAGGAGACAAATGCGACACTCGGAAAGGGGCTCATCGGACAGGTGTGCATCCACTCTCGTTTGCAGCCATTCCTCAAAGAATCACTGATGAATATCAGCAACGTAGTTGGGATATGTTGGGATCAGTGCATATCGCCATCATCAGCAAAGTCAATGTTTGAATGTCTTTCGAGGTGCGTGCCATCATAGTAGGGCCAGTAGGGGTACGTAGAGCCACGTTGAGTCAGAATGTCTTGCACCAGCAGCCAGTTAGGCAATGGAAGGAGTCTATGAAAAGATCTCCAGGACCTCTACTGAAGGTTGATCCTGCACTCATTGTCCACAAACGCTTGCCGTGGCAGGCAAGGCCCCCGAGACAGCCCCATTTAATTTTGATCCACTGAGAGTTCAATTTGTGTGATTCACAATATTCACACGTTACTGTATGACGCGTTCATATGGTTCGTTCAAATGTTCTCTGTATAGAAATGGTCATCCTGAGATCAAATGGATGAATCAACCTTGAAAACGGCAACCTCGCCTGCATCAGACTCTGGCGTAGTATGATGTTTTATAATTATGCCGACAGGTTTCAGGCTTGACATCTATCCTTCACTTTGCTTTCCTTGCTTTTGCTTGATTATATTATGATTTCTTGTGAAGTTTTGTTTTTTTCCAATCCACGTGTTCCTTGTAGCATCAATTCCATAAGAACTTGAACTGGGAGCTTCCGGCTAGGCTATTTTCCGAAAGGAAAGTGTTGGAACAAAAGGTCAAGAGGTTGCAGATGATTCCAAAACGATTCCATGCGTATGATTCCGTTATGGAATAGTCCTAAATAATCATTGGTATTCCACACGCAAGAAAGGAGCCAAGCTTCCAGGAAGGTTCTGCACATCAAGATGTTAGCAGCATGCAATGATTATGCAGTTCTAGAAGCAAGGAGAGAACGTTCCAGGGCATTTCAGGGTTTTGAAAGTCTGATAGAAGAGAGATGAAGAAAGAAAATCAGACGAGACGCGCCTCGATTGCACCATCCCAGTTACTCAGAAACCTATTCTTTGGGCATTTGGGAGCCTTCGATGCTCTGTGAAGCCCTTCAGAAAACAGGTTTGAACCCTGCTCGTAGTAGAGTACTGTAGAGTGTAGTAGCTCCATGTAGCTCCTGCCAATATCCTCAGCACATTGCAATTTTGGACCTCAGAATTGTGCAGGTCCGGAAGAACCAACTGCGGCAAAGGTTCCTTGGTTTCAACGTGATGCTACTGTAGCATCATTCTTTTGAATGGCGCTTTCAAGGATCCCTTACAGCAGTTTAAAGCTACAGTTCCAGGAAAGCCTTTTGATAATTTTGTTGGATAGAATAAAAGTGTCATTCACTTGACATCCTGCCCAGGTTTTGGGATGAGGAGGCGGCTGGATTTTCGATCCGAATTGGTTTGATTCATGTTTGGGTACAGCAATGAATTCAGTTCAGGCAAGAGCCCTGCGCCCTCAAACCTGCACAGGTCAAAAAATCTTCATCGAAAACGCCTTCAATAGTGGCTACTTGTCTCATGACTGTACAAGACTTTCCTTCTTCAAAGCATTGGAACGCATTGGGAAGTACATCAGACTATAGGGGGTCACAGATTGATGGCCCTGGTAAAAGTTGATTCGTATACCATCAATACGGAAAAACAAAAACAATCAAAACGAAACGTTTTTTTGCAACACTAAGATGGCACACAGGGGTCTGTGACAGGTGTTTCTCGTGTCGGTAAAACCATAAATCACACTTAGATGGCATGTATGTTGTGCCATCTTAGTCGAGAATGAGACCCAGCAAGTTTTTACTTCCCCGGCATGTTGGAAAAGACCAGTTGTTAAACACGAAGCCGTCCAAGTAAACACGTTTCCGCTAAAACGACCCAAAAGTGCCATTGTCGAAATTTAGTAGTCTATGGCATCGCCCAACATGGCATCAGAACAAATTTGGGCCGCCTAAAAAGTGGTCAATATCTTGTTGTTTCCTCTGTAAAACAGATGGTTATGAGGCGCTTTTGATTCATTTTTGTCAATGCGGAGGTGCACCGCCCCAAAAACTGGCGTTGCAAAAATCAAAATCTCAGGCCGCCAAAAATATAAAGGTCAATCATTCTTGGTGTTGCAAAATGTTGCCAAACAATTAACGAATCAAGCCGCCCAAAAGCGTTTCACCCCTTGCTGCTTCCCATGTGAAACAGTCGGTTTTGAGGTTCTGCTGTTCATTTTTCGTAATGGAAAGGGAGGAAAAAAACCCAACCACCCAAACGTGGTCCATGTAATAGTGCCTCCTATGTGAAAAAGATAGTTTTAGCATGTTTTAGCATGTTTTAGCATGTTTTAGCAGCAGTTTTCATCTTTCTCCGGCAGGGTATGCCTGGATGTGCCATCTTAGTGTTCCCTGGCAACCCCCGTCAATCCCCCAAAAGTATCCAAAAGTTGTTTTTGATGGTTTTTGTATGCTTTTGGCAAAATGTTGCAAACAGATCGGAAAACCAGGCCGCCCAAAAGTGCTCAATCTCTTATCGCGTCCTATGTGAAAAAGGTCGTTTTGAGGCGCTACGCTTCATTTCTTCGGAATCGACGTGCCTGGATGTGCCATCTCAGTGTTCCGCAGCAGCACCCCACAAGTGGTGTTGAAAAAAAATCTGGCCAGCCAAAAACGTTTCACCCCTTGCTGCTTCCTATGTGAAACAGCCGGTTTTGAGGTTCTGCTGTTCATTTTTTCGCACTGGAAAGGGTGGAAAAAAACCCAGCCACCCAAACCTGGTCCATGTAATAGTGCCCCCTATGTGAAAAAGACAGTTTTAGCAGCAGTTTTCATCTTTCTCGGACAGGACGTGCCGGATGTGCCGTCTTAGTGTTCCCTGGCAACACTAAGATGGCATAAGTTAGATTTCTTTGAATTGATCGTAGCGATTCTGCTATTCCTATTGGGGCAGGCACGCTAAGATGGCACATTAGGGGCAGCCCGCCCATTCAAATGCAATCAAATAATTTTTTGACATTCGCTCGAAATGCCATCTTATCTTGCGCAGTGAAGATGCCATCTATTCGTGATCCGGTATAGGCATAAGCATGGACGTGACAATGAAGCATGAACATGACAGTGAAAGTGGGAATGGGAGCAGGCCCGCTGAGAGGCATAAATCAAGATTCCAGTAGCAACTTGAGAAAGCAAAACAGCAAGAAACAGAACAATGGAGGTATAGGTCTTTACTTCCAACAAATTACAAACTGCTAACGCCAAAATAAAATTCATCAAAATTAATCAACGGCAAAAAGGATAGCCATTTCTGAGAAATGCGATTGGTTTGTCATGATTGTATTTGGGCACTTTTAGTGATTTTCTCGCAGCCGTTTTCATTGCAGGAACGGTTTAGATTGGGTGACGAAGTGATTCTCATGGAATCACGTAGGGCAAACCAGTCTGCGGACGCCCAGCGTGTGCAAACCATTCTGCGGACGCCCCAACTGTGCAAACCATTCTGCGGACGGCCGAAGCCTGCATTTGTAAGGCTTTGCAGCATGCAAACCATTCTGCGGACGCCCGAGCCGTGCAAACCATTCTGCGGACGCGCGAAGTCTGCAAATCATTTTGCGGATGGTCAAAGTGTGCATTTGTAAGGCTTTGCAGCGTGCAAACCATTCTGCGGACGCTCCGGCTGTGCAAACCATTCTGCAGATGGCCGAAGTCTGCATTGTAAGCCTTTGCAGCGTGCAAACCATTCTGCGGACGCCCGAGCCGTGCAAACCATTCTGCGGACGCGCGAAGTCTGCAAATCATTTTGCGGATGGTCAAAGTGTGCATTTGTAAGGCTTTGCAGCGTGCAAACCATTCTGCGGACGCTCCGGCTGTGCAAACCATTCTGCAGATGGCCGAAGTCTGCATTGTAAGCCTTTGCAGCGTGCAAACCATTCTGCGGACGCCCGAGCCGTGCAAACCATTCTGCGGACGCGCGAAGTGTGCAAATCATTTTGCGGATGGTCAAAGTGTGCATTTGTAAGGCTTTGCAGCGTGCAAACCATTTTGCGGATGCCCAAACTGCGGACCCCGGAACTGTGCAAATCATTTTGCAAACGCACCAGTTTGTAAAGCTTCACACCATTCTGCAGACGCCCGAACTGTGCAAACCGGCCAACTCATGGATTTTTGAATGAAACCAAATGCAGGGAAACAGGAGCGACGAAAAAGGTGTGCTGATTTAAGATCTGTACCAAAGAAAAGGATCCAAAAAGATCCAAAAAGACTAAAATTGATGGGTTCAAAAATTGTCATTTCGCTGTAGTGAAACGGCAAGCCACTTGCGCACTCACACATTTCGCTTTAGCCCCGTGCAAGATGCACGAAAATGTGGCGCCATGTAAATGTTGGTCCATTTAAAAAATGAAGCAGATGACGTCATTGAAGGGAAGCACAAAAACACCATAAAAACAGTTAAAATCAACATGACGCGACTTGGCAGCAATGAAAAAGCGTCGTGACGCATTACCGGAACGTGGATTTAGTATTCGTCGGATGTGAATCCAGGAGCTCCCAAATGGCCTAAAGGTGCTCCCAAAAGGCTTAGGTACGCTCTTCTGACCACAAAACTTGCTGCCAAACCCTGTTGCGACACACGCTCTGACAAGAGGAGGCTGTGCTTGAGAAACAATCTGTCACATGTTTCCTGATTTTACCAGATGAAATTAGCGATGGCCAAATCGATAACGTAACCGTAACCAAAAAATACCAAAAATTTCTGAAAGTGGCACCGGGCAGCCAGAGACTCAATCCATCTGCGGAGTGGCGCACTTCAATCTTGCGTCAAGTTTTGAAACATCTATTTGGCGTGGTCCAGCCTGGCCTTGAAACCTACCATTGAATACAGGTTTGATCTCATTATCCAAAGAGATGAACAGAATCTGCACAAGCAGACGACGCGCAACAACGCAAAAACCAAGCTGCTCTGAAGGAAATTCTTTCCGCACTTTGAAGAAAAACAGTGGACAGCAGACTGCTGACCATGAAGTGCACCTACCGTTGTGGCAATGAATTGAAGTGGACCTCCAAATTTCTCCAAATCAATAGCTATTGTTTGAAAGGGTACAAAAAATGTAAAGCGATAGAGCGAACTACCTAAAACAAAACAAATTGCTCTTGACAGCCTTTGTGGCCCTTAGTTTTGTTCCCTGCAGATAGGTGGACAGCAGAGCAAACATATTAAATGAGGGGTAAAGCGTAGACCAACTTTGGGAGGGTTTGGGAGTATTAGTACCAAGAGAAACAGGGTAGCCTGTTTCTTTTCTGCAAGCGGCACTGCGACTACAAGCAGCAGGAACAATAAACTGGAACCATGAAAAGATTGAAACGACCCAGGCAGAATTTGGTTTTGTTTCATTCTGTTCCTTGCGTTGTAGCACTGTGACTTGTGAGGTTGAGGTGAGCCAAACAGCGCGACGCAAGCGACGAGATCCACAGCTTTGGAACAATTTACTGGATCAGGCATTGGCTGCGAACCTGAGCTTAGCCTATGGATTGATCATAAATTGATTGCAGTTTGTTTTGGTTTTGACGGTGTCCAACTGGCCAGATACATTGATTCATTCGCCTTGAACCATGGCGCCTGATATGTAGGTAAGCTGAGAGAAGTCGAGAGAAATTGATAGAAATTGAAAAACATTGAGAGAAATTGACAGGCGCATAGGTTGGCAGAAATTGTCATGTTTGTTTGAACTTTCCGGTGTTTTTGTTTTTTCGTTGGAAATTTGTGCCAAGGCATGCAGAACTGGCTCCTCAGGACATGGCATCGATTCTTTGGTCAATGGCTGACGCTCGATTTCACCACAAAGCTTTGGTTGAAGAGTTTATCCGGTCATTGTCTTTCAGAGCCGGAGTAAAGTCACTGGTGACAGCCATGCTAGCGCTAGACCGATTGGGTTTGCCAGCTGATTCTCTTCGTGCACCTTTCCTCCAGCATTTGAGCGGACAATGCAATGACTTGAGCTTTGGCGACCTGCGTAGGGTTTTGATGGCATTGGCAAGGTGTACTTCTTCTGTTCAAAGTGAGCAGCTTCGAGAGATTTGTGATGCCATACACGAAAAAGCCGAAGAATGCGACCCTCGTGATCTGGTCGCAGTTCCTCAGCATTTGGGTCGGCTGCGCTTTCTACATCCGCAGTTGATGGCACGATCCATCGATGCGATTTCTCGCTTGATCTCTTCACGCCTTTCAGTTGCACCACTGGATGTCCTTCGGGCCTTAGATGGCTTGCTGATGTTGGCTTCGCTCGTCGAAGGAGAGATACATGATCAACTAAAGCACTTGGCCACCAAATGCAAATTATTGAGCAGTCGCATGCTGCAGGAAGGGTCAACACCAGATTTATGGAGCATTGGTTCTCAACTTCTCGGTTCGGAAATTGTGAATGCAGAGGTGTGGACACTGTGGCTGGCGGAGGCATCCGACAGGCGTTTGCAGCAGCATCCGGCAGAGAGCCGATCGCAACGGATCAGCAGAATCCGACGTCAAATGATGAAACAGTGGAACTTCTCGCAGTCGCTTCCTGAGGAACTGGAAATTGTTTTAAAAACTGCTGCATAGTGCGGAGAGTCAGTTGCCACAAGTTGTCCACAAAGATCTTGACATCTACGTTGCAGTGACCTGGTGAACTTGACTCGGACATTCCACTGGTTATTGCGATTGCAGACCTCAGGGGTTACATGTGTGCGCCATAGGAATGGTCTCAGAGATGGCAGAACAACCCGCGTTGCAGAGAAGTGCTTCGTTGTTGTATGATACATTATTTTTGTTTTTATAGACACCCTTCAAATGAACGCGTCTCACCAAGCAGACTAGACCACAGATGTGAGAGGCCGTGTGATTGTGTTGGTACAACACTCTGGAAATGTTCACAGAAATATTCACAGATCCACACAGTAAATACACACATGCATCTTAAGACACTTACATAGTTCAAACTATTTAAAATACATATCCTACATGCAAAGGCAGTAGGTGGTATGCGGTAGTTGTCATGGACTCGAGTCTATGGCAGAAAGCTCCACGAAGCCATGTATTGTGCTCCCCGGCCTCTACGGCTTGCTGGCGCCCGGCTTGGCATTTAGGTGGATTCGTCGGATTCAGTTAATTCAATCATTGATTCAGAAAAAAACAATGGATTCAGCTCGATGATTTCGATGGCTCAAGGTGCAGCTTTTGCTGTTTGCCTGCTGCATCGGCACATTGATCGCCAAAAAGGCCAGAGTCCCAGATAGTGACAGATTTTTCACAGCGCAATAAATGCAGATGCCCCAGATCCCCACACCTTGCGAAGCCTTGCGGGCTTCATGCAGCTTATCTCATATGATATTGCCTACCATCGTGAGAATACACATTTCATCATGTTTCCATCATTTTTGTGAAATGACATTGGTGATGGGTTGTGATGGGTTGTGATGGGGTGTGATGCGTTGTGATTCGTTGTGATGCGGTGTGATGCGGTGTGAGATGTTGTGAGGTTGTGGAAGGAGGCGAAAGAACATGGTTTCAATTTGGCCTGGACTCCTCCAAGCAGTTGATTGGTGCAGGACTTGAAGAGGTCAAGTGCTCCATTGTGCTCTTGATGTTCAATTGTGCTCAACTTTTTTTTTGCATGGAAGGGCCGCTAGGTCGTGGCCCATTTGCTCGCTTTGAAACGCTTATAGAAAAAGGTTCAAAGGCCAGCTAAAAGCTCAAAAAGGTGCATTTGCCACACCGAAACAGCATGGCACTGCAGGACAGATCGTGCCTTCGAAGGGCAGCTGCGTCAGCTCCTGAACTGCCTGCCAGTGAAGGACGGAAGGCTTCGCGCCGCTGCCCGGTCGGACGACATCATGCCGCCTTCTAACGGTCAAAGAAGAATGCCAAGAGAAGCCGCCAGCTCGGGAAAAAGCACCCTTCGCCACGCTTTAACAGCATGGCAGTGAAGGACGGAAGGCTTCTCGCAGGGCTGCTGGGTCGTGGCCCATTTGCTCGCTTTGAAACGCCTATAGAACAAGGTTCAAAGGCCAGCTAAAAGCTCAAAAAGGTACGTTTGCCACACCGAAACAGCATGGCACTGCGGGACCGATCGTGCCTTCGAAGGGCAGCTGGTCGTGGCGCCGTCAGCTCCTGAACTGCCTACCAGTGAAGGAGAACAGGCCGCTGCCGATGCTTCGCTGTCTCGGGCACCTCCCCCTGCAATGGCAACGGCAGGGGTCGGCGGATAATATATACATATTATATAATCATATTGTATATAAATATATATATATATTTAAATATATATATATATAAATAAATATACTGCTATGTGTGTGTATTTATATATATATATAAATATAAATATATATATATAGCACAGTACACATCTTTTCCTGCTTGCTCCCAATCCCTTGGGAGTTGTGACTCTGAGAGCGCTGTCGCTTTAGCTGTGTTCATCGTGCTGCCGCGTAGAAGCCCCTAAGACATCCTAAGACCAAGACCTGGTGAAAGACGATTTGCCAATTTGCCCGCAGCATTTCACTCTTCCAACTCTGCCGACCCTGCTCTCTGAACAGTGATTGCATGGGGTCTGTTGGGTCCGCTGCTTCTGTGCTACTTTACGTGTGTTCGCGTTTTTTTGAACGGCAGCTTTCGACTGCAAAATTCGCAGGATGGATCCATATCCTGAATCTTCTGCAACTTGCTTTGCAAGCAGCGCTCAAACAAAGCACGGCATATGTTGATAGTTTCTTTTTCATGCTCGGCATGGTCAAGCATTGTATTGAACCTTCAGGTGTGCAGAGCTTCTGGGAAGCCAAATGGGCCAAGGCGATGAATGCGAATGGTGTGCCGCCAGAGTAGAGGATGTTGGCATTGGCATATATTGCCATGGATTGCCTTTCTTCCAATTCCAAGATCATGCTTCATCCCGGCAATCTTGGTCTTGAGGTACTGGCTTAACATCATACTGGATACCACCCTCGGGGCTGCTTTGGCTGCGCAAATCATTTGCTGTGTGCAACTCTGTGCGCTTTTGTTTCGCTGCTGGACTGATTGGGAAGCGAAGTGAAGACACGATTGCGGATTTCGAAGGTCCTCATTGAGTACTTGCTGCTCCGAGTGCTTACGGATGCCCTTAACACGGTCTTGGAAGAGGGTGCTCAGGCGCAATGCAAGTGCTATTACCACATATTGTTACCACCTACCAGTAGTACCGCACAAGGCGGTGGCGGAAGTTTCAATTATATAGGAGAGGTGAGTTGTGGTGATGCATGGATGGCAGAGCGAATCCACTGATGGACCGAAAGGTGGTTGGAGTTGTGTTTTTTGGAGTGGTTGCAATGGTTGCAGTGGTCACCTCACCCACAACTGCTGGATGTGGTGTGGTGTAGTGCAATTGTAGTTGTAGTTGTAGTGTCGTGGAGTTGTAGTTGTAGTGTAGTGCAACCAGTGTAGCGTAGTGGCAATTGCAGTTGCAGTTGTAGTTGTGGTGTGGTGTAATGAGTCTAGTGTAACGTAGTGTAGTGTAGTGTACTGTACAGCTGTGTCGTGTAGTATAGTGTAGTATAGTGTAGTGTAGTCTAGTGTAGTGTAGTGCAAAGTAGTGTAAAGTATTGTGGTTGTAGTTGTAGCTGTACTTGTAGTTAGTGTAGCGTCGTGTCGCGCAGTGTAGTGTACAGTAGTGCAGTGCAGTTTAGTCTAGTGTAGTGTAGCGTGATGTAGTGCAGTTGTAGTTGTAGTTGTAGCTGTTGTGCAATCAGTGTAGTGTACTTAGTGTAGTGTAGTGTAGTGTTGTGTTGTGCTGTGTTGTGTAATGTAGTAGTTGTAGTGTAGTAGTTGTAGTGTAGTGTAGTGTAGTGCAATTAGCGTAGCGTAGTGTAATGTAGTGTAGTTGTAGCTGTAGCTGTAGTTAGTAGTAGTAGCTGTAGTAAGTAGTAAGTAGTAAGTAGTAAGTAGTAAGTAGCTAGTAGCTAGTAGCAAGTAGTAGTTAGTAGTTAGTAGCTAGTAGCTAGTAGCTAGTAGCAAGTAGTAGTTAGCAGTTAGTAGCTAGTAGCTAGTAGCTCGTAGCTGGTAGTTAGTAGCTAGTAGGTAGTGATAGTAGTAGCAGTACTAGCAGCAGTAGTAGTACTAGTAGTAGTAGTAGTAGTAGTAGTAGTAGTAGTAGTTGGTTGTTGTTGTTGTTGTTGCTGGGGTTGTTGTTGTCGTTGTTGTCCTTGTTGCTCTTGTTGTTGTCGCTGCTGCTGTTGCTGTTGTTGCTGTTGGTTGTTGTGGTTGTTGTGGTTGTTGTGGTTGTTCTGGTTGTTCTGGTTGTTGTGGTTGTTGTGGTTGTTGTGGTTGTTGTGGTTGTTGTGGTTGTTGTGGTTGTTGTGGTTGTTGTGGTTGTTGTGGTTGTTGTGGTTGTTGTGGTTGTTGTGGTTGTTGTGGTTGTTGTCGTTGTTGTTGCTGTTGCTGTTGGTGGTGGTGGTGGTATTGGTGGTGGTATTGGTGTTGGTGTTGGTGTTGGTGTTGGCGTTGGTGTTGGTGTTGGTGGTGTAGTAGTAGTAGTAGTAGTAGTAGTAGTAGTAGTAGTAGTAGTAGTAGTAGTAGTGGTAGTAGTAGTAGTAGTAGTAGTATTAGTAGTATAGTAGTGGTAGTAGTAGTAGTAGTAGTAGTAATAGTAGTAGTAGTAGTAGTGGTAGTGGTAGTGGTAGTGGTAGTGGTAGTGGTAGTGGTAGTGGTAGTGGTAGTCGTAGTCGTAGTCGTAGCAGTAGTAGTAGTAGTAGTAGTCGTCGTAGTACTAGTACTAGTAGTTGTAGTAGTAGTAGTAGTTGTTGTTGTTGTTGTAGTTGTAATGTAGTTGTAGTTGTAGTTGTAGTAGTTGTTGTAGTAGTTGTAGTTGTAATGTAGTTGTAGTTATAATGTAATTAGTGTAGTGTACTGCAATTAGCGTAGTGTAGTGTAATTAGATTAGTGGAGTGTAATTAGTGTAGTGTACTGTAGCTCAGTATTTTTGTATTTTGTAGTTGTATTATGGCGTTGTGTAGTTGTAGTTGCGCTTGTACTTGTAGTTTTCTATCTATCTATCTGTCTAGCTGCAAGCTTGAAAACGAAGCTATTCAGCGAGACTTCCTCAGTTTTTGAACGTGACAAGATCAAAAACGCAGCAATTCAGCGAGACTTCCTCAGTTTTTGAACTTGACAAGGTCAAAAACGAAGCAATTCCGGGAGAATTCCTCAATTTTCGAAGTTGACGATATCAAAAGCGAAGCAATTCTGCGAGACTCCGTTCAAAAATACAAAGTTGAGTGTAGAGCTCAGGGCCTCGTGCCAATGCGTTTTGCGATTTTTCATTCCATCTATCTACAGTACTGCGCCTGCCACGAAACAGTGAGGCCAGGTCACACGAAGTGCTGCACCTGTCACACAAAAGCATCTTACCAAAACCTGAAGATCTGATGCTCCAAAATGCCACCTCTCTCAGGAAATCAGCACCCGGATCTCCTGACATGTCTGACTCATGTGTCTCTAGTATTGCGCCTGCCACGCGACATGCATCTTTGCAGATCCTTTTCAAATGCCCCACGCCTGCCAACGTTGTTGAAACTGTCACAAAACCCCATGCTTTGCACGCTTTTGGCAGGGTGCAGAATCCCTTACGCCTGCCACACAAAACGGCGCTTCAACGTCAAAAAGTGGCGCGAACATGTGGTGTCTTTGGCATTTTGACTTCGAAATGTGCTTCGCGCCACAATGGCGTACACTTTTGAACGTCTCAACTTCCAACAGTGCTCTGAGGCCGTCAGTTTTTTACACCGCTTTTGACTTTCAAATGTGCTTCGCGCAACTTGCAAAAGTGCTCCGACGTTGTGGTATTTTTAGCATTTTGACTTCGAAATTTGCTTCGCGCCACAACAGCGTGCAATTTTTCATCTCTCATCTGGCCAGATGGCTCCGCACCCGCTGCTTTAGTGAGCCTACGTTTCGAGCCTCCGGAGCCCCAAAAAAACATGGAAAAACACAGTATTTCGCGACTTTTCTACCTTTTCGCGCGCCTGCACCTTTTTTCTTCTGACGCTTTCTCTTCTCTGACCTTTCTTCTTCTCTTCTCTGACTCTTCCCACCTCTGCTTTTTCATCTGTCCATATTGTCGGAAGTTTGACTTCTAAACTTCCTTCGGCTAGTAGGGTGGACATGTTTGGCCGCAGGATTTCAGAACTGGCAGCTACTGGCGTGGAGGAGAGTTCCAGGTTCCAGCTTGCAAAACGTTTGAAGCATTCTTGTGAAAACTTGTGAATTGCTACTGTTCTTTATCACATTCATTTTGTTTGAAGTTTCCGCGGGCAGCCTTGGCTTCTGCTGCGTTGGCTTCCAGTGGAGGTGATAATGTATGCCAAACAGCTTGGCTTATGGCTCGTGATCGTGACCTTCATGAAGCTCTTTATGGTACTCCACCGAGTTTATTTCTAGCTTTCCAAACAGTGTGCGCATTGTCATTGTCACTGGTCACAGATAAAATTGGATTGTCATTCTCATACCAATGACGAATGGACCTTGTTTTCCTATGTTCCAAGATGTTCCGAGGTTATTCTGATGATTTTGCTTGCGAAACCTTTGACAATTGCGGCGGGAGTGTGTCTCAAGCCTTTCATGGACCCACTGCGTCGCACTGAGTTCCCGAATTTCAGACGTGACTCACCCTCGCTCAGTTGATAACTTCCAGTGGTACGATTTTGAGGTTGAAATTGCTTGTGGTGATGATAGCAACACCGGCGCGGTGCTTTGTGGAAGTTGACTTGGGACGCATTGCTTCAATTTACTTCACACAATTGACAGCATCCTTGCTTCAACAGAAACTATGTTTGTTTTCCGCGGAAGTCGTTCCAGTTTCCCTGCCGCAGATCATCATGAACGCCTTCCAGCTCTGGGTGACCGACAACTTTATCAAGAAACGAGAATATGCAGATCAAGGCGACAACTTCTCAAGAGGTCCGTCCCAAAGTCTTGTTGTGCATGTTCTACCCACCAACATGGCACCCTCAACGCGTGATCGGAATGATTTGATGAGGATCTGTCACGTCGCTTCTAGTCGGCGACGGCCGATGCCCCAGAGATGGGGCTGGTGCTGGCCCTGGCGTGCTTTTGCAGTCCTATCGGGCTGCAACCGTAGGTACAAGAGCTTCTCAGTCGAGTCAGTCGAGCCCGTCAAGACCTCAAGTCAAGGCCTGTCAATCCAATATTAAAATATTCCAAATAGTAGTGCAATTTGGAATGATGTGCATGTCGTGCGTGTATGTGTTTGTGTGTGTGTGTGGCTGTCTCTGTGTGTGTGTGTGTGTTCATTTGTGCTAGTTTGAGAGAGCGGGTGCCATTGGTTCATCACGATTGGTTCACGTAACTTTTTTCTAGGATTGCTGTGCGCCGGGGACGCCAAGGCTTGATGCCGTTTCTGGCAGCAATTCCGAGATGGCAGCGGCTCCTGCTGAGATTCAAGGCCACTTACATATTTTTGAATCATATCCGCACATATTTTCACATAATTGCTGAATATTGCTTATAATATTCCTCATCCAGGTTCGAAATAAAAATATTAAGAGATTATAAAATATTAGAAGCAGATAGATATTTCATGTATATTTAAAAATATATTAAAGGATGTTACAAATAAATAATATAGCCAAATTAGTATTAATGTTTATAATTATAGAAAAATTAAATATTATGATTAAAGGAATTTTGAAGATCTAACTTCCGTGTTATGGATCTGACAGCAAAGAGATTTTACAGCATGTCATAGCAAAGAGATTTTATAGCAAAGAATTCTTACAACAAAGAAATTTCACTGCAAAGAAATCTTATAGCAAAGAAATCTCATAGCAAAGAGGTCTTACAACAAAGAAATCTCACAGCAAAGAAATCTTGCAAAGAAATCTTATAGAAAAGAGGTTTTATAGCCAAACAACATTATCGTAATGAGATTTACTAGAAAAGAAATTTCGTAATAAACAAATCTTATATTAAATTTTGGCGTTGATTTTGTAAATATTTATATGTTTTAAATTTGTTTTTATGGTAAGGTTTGATTTTATAAAATTATTTTATATTATATTATATTTAAATATGTTAATTTTATATATATTTACTTGATGCTACCTGATAGGTTTATTATACGGACCTGCTAGATATTATTTCGAATGGTGTATTGTAACTTTGGGAAAATACATGGAATTTTTGTTGGTTTTAATTAAGAACTATAACCCTTCTATCGACATTAATAACTCCGAATTTGACCTAATGCTTGAAAATGAACCTTGACGAATTTAAGGAATTTGAAGAGATTTATATAGATATGGTGACTCTTGAAGATTTTTACAGACTTTGCGCGATATGGATTTACGTTAATCGAGGTAATTATGGGAAATCTACTGCGATGAGAGCCATATGATTAAAATTGCCATACTAAGATTGCTACCTCCTTGGGCATGGATGCGTAGTACTTCGGCCTTAACAATGGTTGGAACTTCTCCTATAAGTTCTACCAGCGCGAATTCATGAAATTACTGGATAAATATTAACCAGAAGAAGTATTTTTATCGCCTACTTATGGATCTTACTTTTTAATGCAGAACAATAATGCCAAGACGCCGCAGCGTTAAGAGCGCTGACATGCTGAGCAAACATAGGAATTAGTAACTTATAAAACATCTAGATTCGCACCTCTGGAGCTTAAAAATTCAACCAAAGATGCCGTTGAAGGGTGTC